CAAAAACAAAAACAAACAAACAAACAAAAACAAAGCATAAATACAGGACAGAAATAGACTCATGGACAGAGAATACAGACTTGTGGTTGCCAGGGGGGTAGAGGGTGGGAGGGGATAGACTGGGATTTTGGAATTGTAGAATAGATAGGCGGGATTGCGCTGTATAGCACAGGGAAATATACACAAAATGTTATGAAAAATCACAGAGAAAAAAAATGTGACAATGAGTGTGTATGTGTCCATGAATGACTGAAAAATTGTGCTGAACACTGGAATTTGACACAACATTGTAAGATGATTATAAAACAATAAAAAATGTTAAAAAAAAAGACATCACTTTCTCAATAAGATCTATTCCCAATAACCCTGTTTCAAACTGTACTTGCCCCAGGGACTCCTGATTCTCTCCACTCATCACCTTTCAACATACAACATAATTCATTTATTTATTCTGTTTATTTTCTTACTTCCTCTACTAGAATGTAAGTTCCAAAAAGGCAGAGTTTTTCATCTGTTTTGTTCAGATCAATTTCTGAAACATATCAGGTGCTCAATAAATATGGAGAGAATGAATGGTACAGTATTAGAATTCAAAAGAAGAACTCTAGAGTATTAGACTCTCTGGTCTAGTGGTTCTTGACTTGGGGGATCTCTGAAAGTCATGATGGTTGGTTCTTTTTATAATTTTAAGAAAGCCTAGTGAAAATTAAGTATTTTGCTATGATAAACTTGCCTAGTTCTGTGGTTCCTGAACTGTGTGTTAAGGAACACAGGAGTGAGGGGGGCATGAGAAGGTCTCAGTGAACTCAGAGAGACACTACAGGATAATTTTATATTTCTGGAAAACAGAAGTACTCAATATCTGCCAGACATCAGGGAAATTTTTAGCTCAAGGTAGTTTACAATTTCAACATTAAATGTGCTACATTTATTTTGATAATGTCTTATCTGTCAAAGTGAGTTTTCCACAATTGCTGTAATAAAAAAGCAAGTGAATGCCATGTGAAAATCAATGTGGAACAAGAGATAATTTATCATTATCTGTTATAATTTGTTTATAAATCTGATTTCAAGATCTGCAAAGGTGCGCAGTGCCCAATAGGCACATACACCTATAATTGTGGTTTTATAAGAATGAACTAAAAAGTATTTTTAAAAGTTAGGTGTATTTTTTTCCCAAATGGCTACTAAGTTATCAGGACATAGATACCATATAAGTTGTTTCGATCTAAGTACTTAATAAACGGAACTGGTAGACTTTATTTTTTTGGCCTAGGAGGACCATGAAAAAAATTGGGGGGCCTAAGAGTGCCATGAATTGAGAAAGTTTGAGCACACCTGGCTTACGCACACAAAAAATTATTTTATTGATTTCGGCTACAATCATCAAATTAGTGTAACTTTGTGGTCTCATGTTTATGAAAAGGTCCAATTGGCAATACTATGTATGTTTCTGGTAGAAAATAAATCATTAATGAAAAAAATTAATCATTAATAAATGTTCTTTCTTAGACTAAGTCTTTCAAAATATAAGGAATCAGAGGAAAAGATAATTAAAGGGTCCTTGGTGTGGGGTGGATAGAGAAATTAGATCTTGTCCAAGGGCCTGGTTTAACACACAAGAAAGCTAAGACCTGTCAAGACTGAGTGAGATGACCACAGTCACACCGCTGCTTAAGGAAGAACCAGGCTCACTACCAAGTGTATGTCCCTTTTCCAATGTACTTCACCAGACTTCCTCCCTAAGCCTGTATGGAGTTTATGGAGGGGTTTTTAATACAGTGCTATGTTGGTAGGTAAATGATCATTCTTCCTGTGCTCTAGTGAAGAGAACTTTCCTCTCCATGCTGTGCCCATCGGGCCAAAAATAATTAACTAGAATATACTCAAAAAATGCATGCTAAATTGAATTATATAATAACCACCAAATCTATAGATCATATTTCTTAATCTCAGAAGTATATTGATGATAATTAACCCAACAGGGAAGTTAGAAAAACCAGTTCATTTACAGGAGGAAGGAATCAGTGCTGGTTAGTGAATTAATGCATTAAAAACTGAGTGTGTTGAGCAGGGGTTCTCAGAGATGACTTTATTTCCCAGCACTTTTTGTGAAATGCTAGAGAGAATACAGCTCTAGAGAGCTATGTACGGCATTCACAGTTAAGAGAAATGTTTGATTAAGAAGTCAAAGCCTTAATCATTTTTTTCTGTAGCTCATGCGTTAACATTTGAGGATAAGAATATTTTAAATGTCATCCTAGAATAGAAATGCCAGTCTTATTTACCAAATCCAAGCCAGTAATCTGAGAAACGTTTGTAACTGTAAGTATCTAGAGTTGTATGTATACAGAATAGTTTCAAAAACAAGAAATAAGAAAATGCAGAAAAATTCCTGCTTCTTTAACGTTTTGTACTCCACAGATGGTCCCCTGGCCAACATAATTTTCTCTCTCATTTTGATGATATGGGCTGGAAAATGTCTCAAGCAAATTAAGCTAATGGAGGTCAGTGTGTGGTATGTGCCATTAATTTGAAGAACAAGGAGATAGATGGAGGAAAGACAAGGTAATGATTTGTGACAGGGGCCCCCAAATTCGATTTAAACAATTTAATTACCCTTTTCAAAGTCCCCCAAAGTAATGTGCTGCAAAGCCCTTCATTCCCCACCCATGCAGATGGGACACAGAGACTGCTCTTAATCAGTTCTATATCACTTCCTCAGTGACATGCTGTGGGGATTGCAAGACAGAAACAAAATGAACCCCGATGTGTCCTATTGTAAAATGTTAGAGGTGGCCAGGCAGCAAAGAGCTGTTCTTGTATGGCTTGAAGGACAAGAGATGGCAAGCTGCCTGCGGAAAGACCTTCTGAGTGACTTCCTGCTAGGAGCACCAGGCCAATATTGCCAAAGTAGCTCCGGCATTATAAAGACTTAAGGAAATTTCCATCTGTAACAGTCAGTAGATGCAAGGCAAATTTAAACTTCAGCCACAGCTACATAATGGGGGATCAGCGGGAGCATATACTCTTGTCAAGGACACAAGCCCTATATTATGCTAAGTGAGACAAATACTGT